ATAAAAAAAGTTTCATCATATTTAATTAGGAAAACTTGATCTCAAGTAAGAAAAACTATCCCGTCTATTAATGAAAAATTCAAAATTGTTTACATGCAGTAATCGATCGCTATCACATGACCATAAACCGAGCACAGATTATAATTTTGCTTATCCGACGATATTAACGGGATTTGAAATTCTCTATTGATCATATTTTTCAATCACTAAAGTCTATATTTATTCGAAATCTCTAAACCAAAATTTCACAAGTTAACTGCGTTAAAGTTAACCACCCAATTAATTTGTGCAACTTCTCTAGCTAATCATTGAGAGAGCTGCCGTTTCACGACATTTTACATATTTCGGAGGCAAAATTCCAATTTTTACCGTTATGCTAAATTGATAGCTCTTTCAAAGTAATAACGTTACTAGACGAATTCCTTATTAAAATATTTAATAAATTTCAAATTGATCATAGTTTTTTCCAAAATGATTATGTTACCGAACGAATGTCTTCTTGAAATATTTAAAAATTTTCGAACTGACTATGATTTTAAAACATTATTTTCTTGCCTTCTTGTAAACCGTCGATGGTGTAGAATTATTATACCAATATTATGGAGTGAACCTACAGATTATACCGGTGATAAAAGACTTATAAAAATGTATCTTTTAGCATTAAATACTGAAGAGCAAGCTTTATTAATCCCATTTAAAAATATTCTTCCAAATTATCCAAGGCCATTATTTGAGTACGAAAGTTATACTACATCTGTTGGGTTTTATTTATACGATGGAGTCAAAAATTGGCTTAAAAATGAAGGATATGATTTAAATTTTTACATAGAAGATTTATTTGTAAATGCTCTCGGATGCACTTTAGTTGCAATGTTTCTGCGAGCAAGTAAAAATCTTAAACATTTAACGCTTAATAATGCTATTAATAAAACAATATTAGGCGCACTTTGCAAGAATTCCACGCTGTCTTCTTTGAATATTTATTCTTATACACTTAAGCCAGAGGAAAGAAATGAATTAGTAGATGCACTTAGTAAACTGACTTCTTTGAGTCTTTATTGTAATAATCTTAGCTTAGGAGGAGGAAAAGTGTTAGCTGATGTAATTCATAAGAACACTACGCTGACTTATTTAGATATCAGTAACAATTATCTTGGATCAGATGTCGGAGAAGTAGTAGCAGATGCATTTTGCAATAACACCATGTTGAAAGATGTGAATCTTTACGGTAATGATCTCGGGTCCGGTGGAAAAGCATTAGCAAATGTACTTTGCAAAAACACCATATTAACTTCTTTGAATCTTGGCAATAATAATTTTGAATTAGACGTTGTAAAAGCATTAGCTGATGCACTTTGCAAGAATAACACGCTGATTTCTTTGTATCTTGACGAGAATAATCTTGGATCAAAAGGAGAAAAAGTATTAGCAGATGTACTTTGTACAAACACTACGCTAACTTTTTTGAACATTGACAATAATAATCTTGGATCAGGAGGAGGAAAAGCATTATCAAATGCACTTTGCAAAAACACCACGCTGACTTCTTTGAGCCTTGGTAATAATTATCTTGAAATCGAAGGAGGAAAAGCATTAGCAGATGCGCTTTGCAAAAATATCACGCTGACGTCTTTAGATCTTGGCTACAATTATCTTGGATCAGAAGGAGGAAAAGCATTGGCCGATGCACTTTGCAAGAACGCTACATTAACTTATTTGAATCTTACTTATAATGACCTTGGATCAGAAGGAGGAAAAGCATTAGCAGATGCACTTTGCAAAAATACCACGCTGACGTCTTTAGATATTAGCTACAATAGTCTTGGATCAGAAGGAGGAAAAGCGTTAGCCGATGCACTTTGCAAAAACACTTCACTAAAATCTTTGGACATCGCTGATAATAACCTTGGATCAGAAGAAGGAAAAGCATTAGCAGATGCACTTTGCAAGAATATCACGCTGACTTCTTTGAATCTTAGTTTCAATAATCTTAAATCAGATGCAGGAAAAGCATTAGCAGATATACTTTGCAAGAATATCACACTGACTTATTTGGATCTTAGCTACAATTATCTTCAATCAGAGGCAGGAAAAGCATTAGCAGATGCACTTTGCAAGAACAATTCCCTAAAAAAATTGAATATTTATGGTAATAATATTAATTTTATAAAATCAAATTATCCAAACATTAAAATATATCAATAAATTATATATTGCGTAAATGCAAATGTAGTAAATAATGTAACGTAAATAATGTAACTAATGTAAATTGGAATTTTATAAATTAAATTATATAAATCACTAGCAGTATAGCAAATTTCTTACAAAATCTTAGCACACATCATGTCTTTGTCATGGATTTCAAACTTGATACGTATTAACATAAAATTTTATTACTTAAAACTTCTGCACACCTATATTATTTCTTCAGATCTTTTTTTGCGACTACTGTAAAAAATTATTGAACATGAAACAGTCAACATGAGAATTATTTATAAAATTATTTATTGCCTGAAATTAAAACTTTCAGCTTCTTGGTCCAGAAGAGGCCCAGAAACTGATACATTAAATTACATTTTTTAGTCAAATAAACAAATAGTATTTTCTTAGCAGTTCACGATAATTGTACTTAATAATTGATTAGACCTATTTGGTATCTTTATATTTAGACATGTTTTAACATCAAAATTTTTTGCTAAACGATTAAAAGATAGTTGTTCGAATTTATAGCGTTTTATTGTATCATAATTATAGTGGTTTATTTGATTAATTTATTTAATGAGTATTAAGATCCTCAACTATTTGAATCATGCGCACGTACGTGATTGTACTGGTTCTACGTGGCATTACATGCTGTACAGCTATTCTTATTAATTAAATCGAATAATAAAATTGACAAATATGATACATTCTATGAAATCACTAATAAAACAGAAATGTAAATAAAGATGATGATAAAACTGATCAAGATAATGACACTGATAAAGACAATAATGCCAATAAAAAAATAATGGTGCAGTAATGACGAATAAAAAAGTAAAAATAAGGAAAAAATAATTGCAAACTATTACTTGCTAATCCTAACAACAACTTGAATTAAGCTACGATTTAGAACTAATTTATTCTCAGATGCAGGCTACCAAATATATCCTAATCCTGTACTATTATTTATATATTAGATTTTTTAATCACCTTTTCGAAGAACGTAATTTAAATTTTCTAATTGTAAAATTAAAGTTTTAAAATTATTAATATTGCCCATTAAAGTCGTTTGAAGATGCGTTATAAATATGTAATAGATTAATTTTTGCATGCAATTAATGCTTTAATTAAAAGTTCTGTATTTACTGGTAAAATTTTAAAATGTAATATTAAAGAATCCGGTTGTTATTAGTGATCATTTTCCGATGACCGCAAATTTCACAAAATTATTGATTATAATCAATAAGAATCTCTATCATATTTAATCGAGGTGATTATAATCGATTAACTGATAATATATGTAATGGTTTTGATAGTATTCATTGATTTGGTTTGATTTTTTTTTTTTTTCACTTCCACCTGAAATAATGACAGCCAACCCTACTGACAAACCTATTCTTCCTGATGATCCAGAATTCGACGATCTACCTCAACACTAGTGTTCCAAATTGTTAGTTAAACAACCAACTAGTTGATTAAAAAACCAATTAATTAATTATTTAATTAGTACAATTCTATAATATTTTTTTAGTTTAGATAATCTTTGATTTAATTAGCTAATTATATAATGATAATATATGTTATAAAAAATCGATTTGTTACATCTATAGTTGACAACTAAACAACCCCTGAATTCGGAACACTACTCAACACTAACTATAAAGCATGCCATCCTAACCTAAATCAGGCCAAATTTATCGATGAAATAACGGTCGGCGAAATTGATTTATACACTACGGTCCCTGCTGGTGTAGCCCATTTTTGAAGGTTCGATCATCCCCACGGTCTGCTGGGGTAGCTTGTTCCATCATTATAAGAAAAGAGCGCTTTATACTGTAGTAATATAATATTACACCATCATTTTGACAATAAGTTTCGCTAAACTACGACCTTTATTTTCTGATCGGAGAAATTGCATACGTATTTTCACGCGCTAAAGTGACATAAAGATGAATATGCGCCATAATTTCATTAAGACGCAGCAAAGGTCAATGCTTTAAATCTTCAGTTATATAACACGAGTCTGCGTAGAAATGTGTTAAAATTCTAAGCGAAGCTGCAAGAGAAGCATTAAAAATATATAATCACAGCCTCTTTTAATCATACTTCCAAGAAGTTACTTAAGGGACAAAGAAAGAGCACATAAGGATCACTACATAAATTAGAAACATCCCAAATCATCATAATCACGCTTCCGGTGAGTTGTTTTCCCCTGTATTAGTTCATTTTATCGTTGTACGTTAAATTCACTCGTGACAGTATGAAGTGATACGATAATACCGAATCTATAAATAATTAGTTACTATTTCAATTGAAATATTTTATAATTAACTTTATAAATCAGTCTTGAAATATTTACATTAATAATTCAAATTGTTTAATTAAAGTGATTAAATTTTACAATTACTATCACATATACACAATTTCTTATTGTGCGACTAAAAAAGCACCTTACTTTTAAAAACGACCAACCCAAAATTAAACATGTTCACTGACAAAAGAAACTATTTTATAATTTTAAATCAACGAATTTTTTTATGCCGAGCAAACGAGTTCACCCCTAAACTAATGAGTTTAAGCTAATGTAAAGTATGCCTAATATTATAAGTGTGAATTATATTAATTAATAAATCACCATAACAAAATAATTTTAGGGTATAAACAAAATAAGCACATAATATGTAAGTGATACATCGTTTCTATATTATGATAATATTGTCATCCATCTATAAATCAAAGAAATATAAATATTTGATTTAAAAACGAAACAATAGTCTTTATACTGCAGTATGTCAATTTCAAAGCTCACCATTATATTTTTCTTCATCTGAGGAAATTTCAAAATCTTGCGTATTTGTTAATTCTTGGGTTAATTCTAATAATTCTAATAAAAAAAAAGGTAATTTTAAAACGAGAAACAATTTAATCTTTATAAACACTCAGAAACAACTTACTGTCTGAATTTTTAGGTTTTGGAAGTTCTTTGAAGTCAATAAGTTTGCTTGTATATACGCCATCTAGGAGTTTACTGGTATATTTGTCATTTGAATAAGTTTGCAAACTTGAAGATGAACCAGAACCTTTTTTATCTGCAGATAAAAATGCATTTCTGATTGAAATTTCCTCTTCTCTCTTGACATTATATCTCAATGTATCGCACCAAGAATTTATCAATTCATAACAATCGCCCGCAGTCGGTCTCTTGGAAGGGTCAGCATCCATACATTGGTATGCTAATTTAATATAGATTTTTGGGGTTCCTTTTCCAAATTTAGGACGCAAGCCGTTGATTATTTCTAATGCAAGAGAAATATCATGCGGAACTTTCCAATGTGGTGGTTTTCCTGAAGAAATTTCAGTCATCAGGATCCCAAAACTATAAATATCAGAAGCCTTTTCATATGGTTTTCTACATAGAACTTCTGGAGCAACGTAAGGTAATACTCCATAAATGTCTTTTTCTTCAATATTTATATTAGCATGTCTGGCCAATCCTAAATCTGAAATACAAGGATAATGGTTACTGTGTATTAAAATGTTACCACTGTGTAGATCACGATGTACACTTTCATTTTTATGGATCAAAACTAATTCGTCACTAATCTTTTGTAAAAAAAACAATTTTGTATGCCAATCGAGTTCTTTAAATTTTGATTCAAGGTAATGCCGAAGATTACCATTATCAGCAAATTTTAAAACCATCATGTAATTTTTTGTATCTTGATCTTGGGTTAGGCCATATAAATTGATGGATGAATATTTATAATGAAATTCGATCTAAATTAATCATGATCATGTAATTATAAGTATGAAACTTAAAATATACAAGTAAATTTAAAATAAGAGTACTGTAGTAAACATATATTACCTCTCTTAAAAAATCATTTAAAAAATCATCCGTGATATCTTTAGAATTATTCAATAATTTAACCGCAACTTTTAATTTTTTTCCTCTTTTCTCTCCTTCCTCATTTATTATCTCTCTTTTCCCATCTAACCATGTAGCTGAATATACTATACCGTATCCACCTTTTGCAATTAGTTCTAAACCTTCTAATCTGTTAAACGGAATCCATTCTACTACATTTTCGTATTTATCTGCTGATTGTAAAGCATCTTGTAAAAACTTGTCGACCTTTTCATTTCCTGTGCTAGCCGAATTTACACTATCACAAAATTTGCACCATGCATACGAGTAATTCTTTCGTTTGCATTTTTTACAATTTCCAAAATCTATGTTTCTCTTGGTAGTGCTCATGAGATACGTAGTTATGTAATTTTAATTTAATTTTAATTTATTAATTAAATTAGGTATAAAGCTTTTAATTAAATTAGAATAGTTGATCTAAATGGATAGAATTCAATTCATTGGTCTAGAACATAACATCGTATATGAATTAAAAGCAATAATATTAAGTACGTACTGTACGTACTTCGAGAAAGTGTATATACGTTAGATAAAGTTTTTATCAATCACAAGATCGGTTTAAAGTTTGCTAAATATATTTTGTAAACACTCATCTGATTATTTAGTTCTCTAAATATGGACTATGCCAAATTTACAAGTGTGCACACAAATGATCGTATCGGCGCCTTTTCTATATCGGGATTGATTGTATAATTACGAAAAAGAACAATTCGTGTTTTTTATATTGTACAGGTATAATCTAAATTAAAATTGTATCGGTGTATACTGATACTGCCATAAGTGTAAATTCAATCAAATCAAAATAAAACTTGAACGTAGGTTATCTGCTGATGCGAGTCAATAATTTAGCATTGGTTAGTTTGATTTGTCCTGATTAACCCCAATGAATATTGACGTCAAAGTTCGATGAAATATAAACTTTTTATAAATATACGTACGTACGTAATCATAATTTTTCAAAGTTTATAATGTAATTTGATAAAGCTTAAAAAACTTTATTTGATTTTATAATATAACAAAAAATTCGAAATAACGATTCGAGTTATAATAACGTATAAAAATATGTAATGAATGTGATCAAAACTCGAATATACTATATAATGAAAACATATATAGATATAATTATGAATAAAAAAAAAATTTAAGCTAAAAATAAAACTAATTCAGATTTGCTAACAAATTACGTAAAAATGTGTGTGCTATTTCATAAATATTAACCCGATCATTATTTCTTTTCTTTGGGCCTATAAGGAAAAAACAATTCGCGTAAAAATTTTTGTGCTATGTTATAAACAAGAACAGGATCATTATGACTTTTTTTTGGACCTGTAATAAATAATTTTTGGACATTGTTACTTTTAAGCCATTCAGTAATTAACTGAATGTTTTCTTCAAAATTCTTCTCTTCAAGAAGAATAATTTTTGATTCTTTTCCTTCAATAACAGGAAGTTTTTCATTATCAAATTTTATATTTGGTATATTCAAAACTAACATTTTATCAGCAAGTTTAAAATTTTCTTCATTTCTTATTGAGTATAAAGAACTATTTGATTCTGAGTATAATTTAGAATCTAATGGTTTAAGTGGATATCTTTCTGGGAGAGCTTCATCTTCTGCCAATCTTTCTGGTAAACAATAACCTTCAATCTTTAATTGATTTTCCAAAGCAACATCTAATGCTGCTCTCTCAATTCCTGGTTGATCACCAGAAACAATAGTTATCTTAGACATAATAAAACATGAAATGTTTTTTAATAAAACTAAGATTTTTAATAAAATATGAAATGTTTTTTAATAAAACATGAAATTTTTTTTTAATTAAAAATTATATACTGTATATATAAATAATTTAAAAACAATATTATAATATTTTAATTGTTTGGGCTGAGAATTTTTAATCTTATTAAAGTAAAATTTAGATGATCTATAAATTTTATTTTTTTACGAAAATTAATAATTTTAGTATTGTTTTATTTTTAGAAATAATATGGTGCATTTAAAAATAGTGTAATAAATTATAAATAATTAAATGATTTACTGTATATAATAATAATTTTTTATAATCTTAACTTTATAATAAATAACAATATATAAAATACATATAATATTAAAAAATTATTTTATATAAAATCAGTACATATAATAAAAATAATATAATAATAAAAATGATATATTTAATCATAATTTTTAAAAACTGGTTTAATATTTATATATGTACGTACGTACGTATGTACTTACGTAATAATTAAATATGCCAATTTATTTCTAATAAAGGTTTCATCCACTTGCATCAGCCCCTTGCATAGCCAATATCAAAAAGGAATTACGCCGTCGTACGTAACACCATTGCCTGTACACTCATCCTACGATAATAGTAAAATTAAAAAACTTTAAAATCATATTGTTATTATATCAATAAAAAACAAAAAATGATTCTCACATCAAATTTCCTAAAATCTCTCATGGTCCCGATCATTTGTCTAGCGGCGATAACAGCGATAAAAGCTTATTTCTACATAAATAAAAAAACATTTGCTTAAATATGTATATACGTACGTACCAGAATTGTAAATTACTATAATTTATAAATTTTACTGTAAGTTACCGGACATTCAGTAATGTAACGCACGTACTAGTACATACGCACGTACGATCGGTACCTATCTATATTTCCGAGAATTTCAGCCTTTTTAGTTTAATGCCAGCCAAAATTAGTCCTGAGACACCCGACAAAAGACTAGCTGAATGATTTTTCGACCAATCGATTATAGATTTCAGCATAATATCGATGGATTCGATAAATTGTATACATGATTTAAGATTAGGTGACTAATAAAGTAAGACTCTACATACATATCTGGATGAATACACAAATACGTATGATACTGTCAAAGCTTCTTCGCTGGTAAATAATTTAAACAAAAATATTTTTGGAAGGTTATCAGTTCGAAAAAACTGTTAAACACTTGGGTGCCGGCTGATTTTCTGTAAGCCAGGTTCTCAATCACTTTCAAAGATATAAATGTATTGAAAAATTTCGTAAGGTATAAAAATTTAATAATGTTTGTGTCGACATTATAATTATATATCTGTAGATCAAGTATTAATACGTATATTTAAGTGAATCGGCAGAGAAATCATCCGGCTAATTTTTTTATCAGGTGTCCCAAGATTTATAAAAACCCCAAATTAGTTCAAGAACTTACTTAAGTGTTTAGGTAACTTACTGGTAATTTGCTGATGGAAATTTACTATTAACAATCCTGGTACGTACGTACGTACAAACGGTGTACCATAGCAGATAGGTACTTACATACTTGTACTAGGGTATCAGGAATTTTGCAATTGTAAATTCTGCCGAATTTGGAGATCGCTAACCAATGTTGCATTTTTTATTACGTACATTCATATAGGAATACTGCTTAACATTACGTATCAAGATTTATTGAACAATACGTATATTAAATTAATCCGCTTTAGCAAATCCCCGAATTTACCGTTACAGAATTCACCAGTTAAATAGTTTGTTAATTGAAAATAAAACTCAAATTTAACTATCACAATTATAATGTCTTACCATATAGAAAACTTATCAAGTCTTCGTAGATTAGAGTAATAATAGTTTATTTTTGGCAAACAATATTGCCATAAAAGATTTATAGATACAGAGCGTGCTTAAAATCCCAACTTAAAGGATCTATTCTCTATGACAGCGCTTAGCGATGGATTGGTCTTTGTAAAGACCGGGACCAGACGGTAACGGATCGAGAACCGAATAATTTTCAGTCTTCGGTTCATAACAGTCCAGTCCTGGTCCAAAAATTGTTCCTAGTGATAAAAAAAAAAGATGAACCATTACTAAATAATATCATTATCACTTTTTTATTGTCTTTTCTATTCTTTTTCATCTTCTCTATTTTCTTCCCTAGTCTATTTTTCTGCTTCTATTTCCTTCAAAACTGTTGACCCTATTTCTTTTGTTCTATCTACCACTGCTTTAATGTTTCTTCATATTATACATTGCCAGCCAATGAACCGTCAAGTAATCTATTTGAGTATAATTCGAATCCTTAGTATGTTGGCAAGTGCAGAAAGAATAGTCCAATTGCAAGGTGCTATTTGCCACTAATGTGCTTCAAAACAAGCACTCTTCTTAGTTAGTTCTTATATTTCATCCAAAAGGAATAGATTAAGCGATTAATTTGCAAAGGCAATTTTGTGTCTAAAACGTTGGCTCTAAAAAGAAATTTGCAATTTGGATAAATAGAAACTACTAGTTAGGTCCCTGCAATAATTTATGTAATTCATTCTAACACAAATGTAACGCATGATTATTCAATAAAGACCGAGGCCAGGCATCACTCTTTAAAAAAAAAAATGAAAATGAAAACTACTTGTTTTATTGTATTATTAAATTAGTTTCGCACTGATATCTACATATATTTATGTATTCATTTTACAATGAATATTTAACAGTTATCATATATATGATTCTAAAAAATTAGGAGCTAATAATTCCAAAACATTTTTTTTATATACTAATAAATATATCATAAGACTGATTTTAGGACCGAAAGGAGGACAACAGGACTAGGGATGGGCAAATCGACGATTTTTTGAAATTACTGCACAACTGCATAGCCCCGATTCCTCTAGGAATCTAGGGTTCATGATTACGTATATATATAAAACATCTACTTCGTATGTATCAAGTTAGGCTCCCATTATTTTTTATTCGTGCTTCGAGGTCAGTTTAAACATCAGTTTTTGAGTTTTGCGTTTTTTTCACTTGTAGCTCCTTCAAATAAATTTTGACTGTTTTTTAAAACTTTTAGCGAAGTTTTCT